GATAATCTACGGCCCCAACAGGGTAATAATCTACGGCCCCAACAGGGTAATAAGACAGGGGTCAACGACCCAAACCAAAAACACACCTAACACAACAAACAAGAAAAGCAAACTAAGAGGACACGCACTAGGCGGCCTAAAGAACTCCAAAACGAAAATAAAGGAAAATGAAAAACTGAGCCACTGCACAATGCCTAGCCTGTATTCATTTCCGAAACAAAAACAACAACCATACTAAGCAAAAAAAAAAGGACAACCTACAAAACAAACAAGAAAGCAAAAAAAACTAAACAACCATCCCCCGGAGATCTGACAAAGCCGAAAAAGCAGCAACAACCGACTCTAGGAAAGGCCCCTAGCCAAGCCCCAACACCGGAAACTGCCGAAGGCCTAACACGAAGCGAGACTTCGCCCCCGAACCCAACCCAGAGGACGGAAGCCACTGACCGAGGAGACCAGGCCGAGCAGCCCCAACCGGAATTATCCGAGCTAGGCTAGCACCACTAACCCGACTCAGAAAAACTGGATCCCAATCAACCCAACAAGAGGTGCACCAGGATAGCCGCTCCCTGCCCGGACCCCAGCCCCGACAACCACCATGCACAACACCTAGCAGCCACCGGAGCCCCCTCTCCCGCCAACCACCACCAACTCCTCCTCGCAACCACAGCCGAAGACGCGTCCCTCCCTCCTCTATCGCCAACCCCCAAACAAGAGCCAGAACCCCTGAAATCGCCACGAAGCCCAAACCAAACGCCCTGAACCACCATCCCCAGGCTCTCAAACGGCCAAGACAACCCAGTCAGACAACCCCGCCGGAAAACCTCGGACCCCTATACGAACCCTAACCACCGAATCGCTCCCTGCACCAAACCACCAAACAAACCTGCCCAACAACAACAATCGGGGATCCCAATCACCACGAGCAGCATCTACAAACTCGGATTAAGGCCGGGAACCTCCGCCGGTCCCTCAACCACCAACGGCCAACGAAAGGGGGAAGAGAAAGAAAACGCCATGGCTATAAATTGAGGAGAAGAGACAGCGAAGAAGAAGAGGGGCGGTCAGCGACGGCCGCAGGACCGGCCTCGCCGCCACCGGAAGAGGTCAAATCGGAAGAAGATCAAGGAGCTCGCAGGAGGAGATTTTTGTCGTCGAAAATCGCAGGAGCTATGTTTTTTCACTCACTGTTGTGTTGTGCTCTCGCTTTTCTTTTAATTTTTCTGTCCCCCAAACTTACACAACTAAATTTCATATTTATTTATTTTTATTTTTTTTTTCTAATAAATTATTTTGAAAATAATAAAAAAAAAGAAAGATAGAGAGAGAAAGAATGGAGTTATATCTGTTATAAATAAAGTAATTTATTCTAAAAGGAATAAAATTTTTAAAATAAAATAAAATAAAAGGCACCATCTACAGGCATTAAGGACGAACTTGCATGTCCATATAAAATATATATCTAAAACACAAAATAACCTTTATATGGTCCAAAAAAAATTATCAATTTAGGTTCTTTTACAAATATCAACCATGAATATGAACAAATGAAACAAAAAAAAGATATAAGCAAACTTAGAATTCGAACATGATATCTAAACTTAATTTTATTTGTGAATTAAAAATAGATGATATTTCAGAACTGATATTAAAAAAAGAAAAATGATAACATACAAATGGGGAGAGTGACATTATTTCAAAGAGGTATAACTCATGTCATTAACTATGAAGACTGAAGAAAAACTTATACTGAATTTGGTTTGATTGAAGGTGTTCATTGGCCTGAAAATATAAAGTTTGTTTACTTTATTTATTTTTAGTTAGTATAATTTTTTTTTTTTTTGTCAATTTATTGAATAGGTCATCTCAACATGTTCATACACTTTTTTTTTTTTTATCATTTATCACATGTGTTAGTTTTACTTTTTATCATTTTAGAGTTATATATTACATTTAAATATTTTATTATTATTGTTTAACAAGAACTCTCTCAATATGTATTTCTGACAAAGTAAGTTAAATTATAATTATCATAAATTCAATGCAAAATAAGTGTTGGCTATTGATCGATCCATTGACATTTATCATCTTGATCGTTACCTTATTATGACCTGAAAATCTACAAAAAAATAAAAACATCTTGAAATTATATAATTTATTATATATAGACATTTGTACTTTTATTTTTCAACTTCTAGATGGACATAAAGTGATACAATTTGTATGCATAATAAAAATTAGATGATTTAGTTTTGAACATGACATCGGAATTTGGTTTCATTTATGAGTAAGAAATAGACTAATATTGTGGAGTTATATTGTAAAAAAAAAGGAAATGATATAAAAAGAGAGAGAGAGTCTCAAGTCTCAACCATAAGAGATGAGAAAGAAATAGTGACGATATACTTTTGACTCGAAAGAATGATTACAACAATGTATATTTATCATCCAATTATTTAGTTGATTTTTTGTTATATATGAGACATTTTATATGGGTTTTAGTTCATTTGATTGAATTGGTTGAGCTTAAAATAAATAGTTGTTTTAATTTATTTGTTTTTAGTCGATATCATTTTTTATTGAGACCGACATCTGAGGTCATTTAAATGGTTGTGATAAAGTGATTGCCCTCATTTTAATTTATTTATTTATTCATAATTATGCAACTATAATTTTTTATAAATAAATATGGCATAATGTATTAATTATTGTTAATTTTTTGTTATTATAACACATGTTTTGTTAAGAGAATGATGCTAATATAATATCGCTACTAATTTGTTGCAATAAAATTCAACAAGGCTTACTATAATACATCAACTACTTTTTTCTTATCATATATCATAAATATTAGTTTTATAAAAATAATATACTTTTTTAATTATAATATATATAGTGTATTTTGTATTATTCTTTTTTATCTTATGAATTCACTTCCAAAAATTATATTAAATTTATTTCACATAATTGCACACAAAAAATAAATAACTTTGTTATTGACATGAATATTAACGATTACTGTGCCTATTTCTAAGTTTGCAAAAGGTGATCCATCTTGCATGTCAGTCTGAAAAAAATTACTAAAATTTATTTAGATAATTTAAAAAAAAAAGAGAGAGAAAAATATGTGGACCTAATTTGAAACATGCAGTTCAAAATGAGTCATTTTTGTTTTTTATTTTACTTATTCAAATTATATTTTTTAATTGGATCATATTTCTACATGTTTATTTCAATTATTTCATATCAGTTTACCTATATAATAGTAATAATGTCTTTATTATGCGAGAATGATGAAGTTTCAAGGAGTATAATTAATGTGAAAAATATTTTTCGTTGAATATCATAAATTATTATTTTAATTTAGTTATATATTTTTTTAAAAAAAAAACATATGGTACTTTGTACTCACAGTCAGTTATATATTGTTTTCGGGAGTCACCGATTCCAATTGTTTGATGATTATTATTTATGATAATGGTCATAATGAATACAGTTCATCGATTACTAAGATTAAGCAAAAGACTGATTTTAGCGGACATTGCTATATTCATGATAATATTTTGAATATATTAAATAAAATATTTATCTTACTTTTTATTAACTCTATACATGTTTTATGTATATCAAATTATAATTCACCCAAATTATTTTTAATGTCAAGTCGCGCAACGCGGGTCACGTACTAGTATATATTAAAGCTAAGCAGCTGGAAAAATTTTCTTTTCCCTCCAAAACTACATTTATTACACTGAAATAAATTTTGATAACTTCTATGTAATACAACCATCAACTTAATTTGTTTTTACAAAAACAAAAAAAAAAACACTTAATTATGTATATATATTTATTTACTTATTAAATAATTACTCTTATATTCCCAAAGCTTCATTTACTATACTTTTTTTTAACTTTTATGTAACTCAACCATAAACATAATTAATTTTTATAAATAAATATATAATTATAAATATATTCAAAATTTATAATTTATAAACATTATATTCAATTAAACATTTATTGTGCAATTAAAATTGATGTGAATTTGTGTTCAAAAGTAATACTTAAATTATAAAAAAAAAAACTATTAGAAGCTATTCATCAATTTACATGTATGTTGGAGTAAAAATTGTCTGCTATAATTGTCTTTCCTTTATCAATGAAATTTTATTTAAATAATTCAATATTTTTACAGCGAAAATCTCAATGCATATTTCAAGAAGTTTAATTAGCTTCCGTTTATAAATAATTTTCAGTCCAAATAGCTAGATATATTATTGACTTAATGACTAATAATGATATTGAAGAATTTTTCTCTTAATTCCACAAAAAAACTAAAAACACAATTTTAAAGTATAAAAGATAAAATTCTCGCAACATATTTTTTTTTTGTTCTACAATTATCCTTGACGTTTTCCAATTCAATACTACTATTTAAATTCCAGCGATGATATTTTTTATTATGTTGTCTTAGGCAATGTGAGTTGATCAAAAGTCAACTATTGTTGTTATATGTGATATTGTTGCTGAAAAAATATGCACTTAGTCATAATAGTAGCATATTGTTGTTTCTAGAGTTATAAACGAAAGATTAATATTTTCATTGACAATAGTGATCATAATAAGCTCAATTTGCCTACAACTAATGTTATATGTATAATTATTCAAATGCTTAGTAAGTGACATTATTTTAAATAAATTGTCATTTGTTTAAATTATAATTCATCAATATATTTAACATGATGTCGCGCAACGCGCGGGTGCCGTACTAGTTTTCATATAAGTTAAAGCAATGCTTTTACGTACGCACAAAGAGGCGACGCGCACACACACACAATCGATCTACTAAAATTCTCTTTCCGTCTCCGGCCCGTTAATTAATTCTCGATCGACCGGTAAATCTAAAGTCCCACCCTTCATATGATTTTTGCAGTTTATTTTCGTGCAATAGTTTAATTTGTACTAATTAGTTTATTTTTGCAGCAAAATTGGAGTTGGAGATGAAGGAGAATAATGAGAAGCTTCCCCTGCTCATGACAGTACACGGCGACCATCCCTCTAGACAGTCCTTCTACAGTCTGGTCGACCGGCAGTCCCAGAAAACTCAACTTCCCATCCTAATCCCAAGGCGCATAATAGGCTCCGGTCACGGGTGGCTCGTCCTTGTGAACATTCTGACAGGAAAATCCTCCCTATGGAACCCAGATTCAATGAGCCAGATCAGCCTCCCCTTCCTTCACGACGCGCACATGTACTCTCGGTGTGTCCTGACTGGGCCCCCGACTGAGCCCGACTGCCACATCATCTTCTGTTCCCTCAACGAAGAGGAGCAGACCGTGTTCCGAGTCAGGGACTGCACCACCGTCAGTTCGCCACCTGGAGAAGTGCAGATCGCTGCCATGGCCTCCTTCCGAGGGGAGATGTATGGTTTAGTCGACACAGACGACCGTGGATTCGAGTTTGTGACCGTCCACGTGGTCGAGGGAGGGTTAGAGTTTAGACCGTTGTTGGACGAGTTGGGTCGAACCGTAAAGGTCCCATATGCAAGGAGAAACTGGGTGAATGCGTACAAGTGCCACCTCATCGAGGCGCCGGGAAGCGGGGGACTCCTGCTCGTCATGAAGTTGATGAGAGGCGGATATCTCAAGGTCGGCGTCGAGTTTAAGGTTTTCCGGGTGGAGGTTGCCGCCAACCATCGGGTGGAGTGTGTGGAACTCGACAGCGTGGAAGAGTGGACTATCTTCATCAACAATTTAGGGAGCAGCTTTTGCCGCACCTCTCAGAAAGGAGCATGTCGACCTAATTGTGTATATTACACCGATGAGTGGAAAGGCAGGGCGGTGAAAGTGTACGACTTTGGGGAGAGGAGCACGACCGTGTTGATGCCTTTTCGTTACGCGGGACGCTATGTGTCGTTATGCTATTGGGTCGACATCCCCAACATTCCTGAACCTGAACTTGAACCACAAGAAGTTGAACACAATCCTGAACCTGAACTTGAACTAGAACCACAAGAAGTTGAACCAGAACCTTGAGTTTATGAAATTATTAAATTTTTCCTTGAGTCTGATATTATTACATTTTCACTGTTTTTTTAATAGAGTTTATGCATTTGTTAGCATTAGTACGAACTCAGATGTGTACTTATAAAGGAGCTTATGCATATTGTATGTTGGTACTAGGTATGCATTAATAGCATGGTAGTCGAAAAATATGCATTTAAATATTTGTCACGCCGTGAGTTTGCTTTGTAGGGAAGCGTACAAGAGATAATAGAAGATTCAGGCTTGATTGTTTATGAAATAATTTGTTCGAGTTATTTTGGTTAATTATAGTTAATTTTGAAAAAAGTGGTATACTTAGTTGTTAGTGTAATTATTAAAATAATATTTGAAATAAAATGATTAAAATTGATTTGAAGTAAAAGTAAGAGATAAATGATTGGAAATGATTAGAAATGATAGGTAGTTAAAATTATGTGAGTGGATGAATAGTGAATTAAAGTTGGTGTGATGTGTAAGAATGATTGGTTTGTATTATTTAATTATATGAATAATATTAAAGATGGTGAGGTTGAATTAAAGTTGAGTTAAATTTTGAGTTGAAATAAAAGTAAATAAATTAACTCATAAACAATCAAGCCCTCAAGCTCTCAATACCATAAAACACGCTGGATATCTTCAATCATCAACTGAGAAATAAGTACAAAAAGAGATATTCTCTCATATTCATAATAAATGTCGTTTTGAAAAGTTGCACAGTTATTAAGAATATTTTTTTTGCCAATAATAACCCTCATTAATGAGGATAGAGATGAATGTTTTGACAAAATATGAAGAGTGAGTATGAAAAGACGTATTGTATTTATTAGCTAGATGAGGATAATAATGGAAAAATATGTACAAAATATTCAAAACGACATTTATTTTGTTAATAGTTGATAATGCCAAAATGACATTTAAAAAAAAAAATATGAGGTAGTAGTATATACTATATAAGACTCCTAACCTAATTTGTTCACTAAGACTAAGTAAAATAACAAATAAATATTAAATGCTAGAAAAAATAAGAATATATATATATATATATATATATCGGGCCCAATTTAAAATAATAAATAAATACCTAATTGCAACAGATCATATTTACTGAAAAAAAATCGAATTGCATAAAAATTGGGCCCAATTTCTAACTGAAAATTAAAATTTAAAAATTCTTTATCATTTGGCTACGAGTTTCTTCAGTTCAAATTTTTTAAACGTAAAACAGAGTCCAATAATATTAATTTCAAATTCAAAATGAAATCGGACTAGAGCATCCTAAAAATTTGGGTTCTGTTTAGTCATCTATAATACAAATTTGAAATGGATTGCATACACTTATACAATTTTTTTTTCCTTAAATTAAGTAATTTACAATTTCAAAATAATAAGGCTATAGATTATCAAGAAAGACGTTTTACAATCTCTGTTATATTCGGCTATGCAATGCGTCAGACGATGTACCAAAAGACCAAACAAATAATATTGTATACAAAGGATGCGTTTAACGATATATAAGTTACATTTTGTTGTATTACAGAACACGCGTTTTACATTTTTTCAATCATCCACTTATTTAAATCTAAATATTTACCTTAATAAAATTATCTCGTGCATTGCACGGGTAGCGCACTAGTATTGTGGAAAGGTAGAAAATATTATACTTAACCTTATTAGGAGTTGTTACTAATTTCCTAAATATTCTAGGATGTGACCATAATTAAACATTCCTATTCACGCAATATTCAGGCAAGGGAAAGGAATTAATTTTCCTTTTATCTTTCCTAATACATATAGGAAAGTAAACCAATGATTTTACGTATAAAAAGGCGACGACGCACGCACACAATCGAACTAAAATCCCCTTTCAGTCTCCGCTTCGTGTGATTTTACCGTACTGTTTTGTACTAATTCATGATTAATTAATTAATTAGTTGGTTTCCCTCTGTTTGCACTTTGCCGTACAGAAAAATTGGAGATGGCAGAAGATCACGAGAAGCTTCCCCTTCTCATCACGACTCACGGCGCCCATCTCCACCGGCAGTCCTTGTACAGTCTTGTTGACCGCCGGTGCAAGACCACTGAAATCCCCATCATGCATTGCAAGCGCATACTCGGCTCCAGCCACGGGTGGTTGGTCCTCGTGAGCCTCATTACCGGCAACTCCTTCCTGTGGAATCCAATATCGATGCGCGAGATCGACCTTCCTTGCCTGCACCGCCCGTCAGACTACAACCGGTGTGTCCTGACCGGGCCCCCGACCGAGCCCAACTGCCACGTCATCTTCTGTTCAACCGACTACGAGGAGCGGACCGTGTTCCGAGTTGGAGACGGCACCACTGTATGTTTGCCACCTGGAGAAGCGGGTGGAGGAGTCGTGCTCGTCGCCTTGGCCTCCTTCCGAGGGGAGACGTACGGTGTAGTCGACACAGACGATGGTGAATACGAGTTTGTGACCGTCCACGTGGTTGACGGTGGGGTCGAGTTTAGACCGTTGTTGGACGAGTTTGGTCAAACCCTAGAGGTCCCGATATCGAGGAGAATGAATGTGAAGTGGCAAGAGAGCCATCTCATCGAGGCACCGGGTGGCCGGGGGCTACTGTTGGTCATGAAATTTTTCAAAGGCTCTATTCTCGCCGACAGTGTGGAGTTTAAGGTCTTCCGGTTGGAGGTTGCGGATGGTCCGGTGGAGTGTGTGGAGCTTAACAGCGTGGATGAGTGGACCATATTCATCAACTATTTTGGGAGAGGGTTTTGCCGCATCTCCTCCTCCGAGAGACGAGTAACCCGACCCAATTCCATATATTACACGGACAAGATAGGGAGGGCGGTGAAAATCTACGACTTGGGTGAGAGGAGCACGACCGTGTTGATGCCTTTTCGTTATGCCGGACGATGTCTATCAGTCTGCTATTGGGTCGACATCCCCGACATCCCTGAACTTGAGCCTGAGCCTGAGATTGAGCCAGAACTAGAACCTTGAATTTATTATTATTATTACTATTAAGTTCTCACTATTTTCCTATAGATTTTATGCATTGAGAACCTTGAATATTATTATTATTATTATTATTATTATTATTATTATTATTATTATTATTATTATTATTATTATTATTAAATTCTCACTATTTTCTCTTTAGAGTTTTATGCATTGGTAAGCTTCACTACTCACTAGTATATGAACTCGATGTGTAACTTATAAACGAGCTCATTCATATTGTGAGTATGCATTAATAGCATGTTAATTGGAAAATATGTTTGTTGATTGGGTATTAATTTCATTATATAGTCATCATATTTTTATTTGTTCTAGTAATGTAGAATTATCTGGCTAAGGATACTTGAGATTTTTTTTTTTCTTATGTGAGTTTTTTCAGTACACTTCCATGTTAGGATTAGATGTAGGATCTAATGTGAGCTTTATTGGAGGTTAATTTGATGTGAGCTTCGTTAATCTTTTGTTTAAGTTCCGAGTGTTTGAAGCTTATGACAGTGATCTGTTCTGCAAAAATAATGGATATGTTAACATCTGTGGTTTGGGCAGTTTTCAGAATCTGGTTTGGATTGGGCCTAGTGTCTTTGAAATCTAGCAGGGAATCAAAAGGCTTTAGGCACATCACATATAACTACTCTCACTTATTAGTCTTCCCTGTTTTCTGCAACTAGTTCTCACATTTGGGTTCAGCAAGTTGGGTAAAAATCGAAACCAAACCGGATTTCGGTGTTACTGAGTTGTTCGGTTCGGTAAAACCAAGTTCGGTTACCGATCCGAACCCAACCCTACAGTAGGTAGTTAATTCAATGCATAATTTACAAAAGGCTGAATGGTCCAAACTAAAGCAAGTACACACAAACCATGCCTATCCGGATTTTTGTGTCAAATCCATATGTCATGTCCAGTCCTCTACCTTGTGTCTAATCAATTTTTTATGCCACGGTACACAATCAATGTTAACTAAAAATGTAGTATTAAATTGTTGAAAAGTCCAATCCAGTAGGCAGTCCACCTCATTTAAAAAATACACATTCACATATCCCAAAAACTTAAATAGTAAAATAAAAATAAAAAGTTAGATAATAAAGTAAAGGGTTTAAAAATAAAAAATAAGATTCCTGCAAAAGTGAAGAAAGCAGAAATCTGCTTTGCAGAACACAGTGAACAAACATGAATCCAAAAACAAGAAAAATTTCCTCCAAACAACTAAAAAACTAGAAAAATAAGAAAAAATTTAAATTAATCAAATAACCTAAAAAATAATTCAAATCACAATCATCAATAACAATAGAGACGATCACACACACACACACACACACACACACACACACACCTCACAACAAAAGCCATAACAATGTTAGAGTACATGAATTATCATATTGGCTGGAGTTTCAAAGTGTGCGCATTCATCCTCCTGAAGTAGCCCTGGACATTCATGGATCTATATCCGTGAATAAAATGAAAAATATGTGAATCAAAAGGAATAGTTTATTTCTTGAAAAGTGAGAGTAATCATTAAAACAATATTGGAAATAATATCAAGCTTAACAATAAACACCAAAGAGGAATAAAACATAACAAATATAAATGGTGAACAAGTTAGACCTGTTTGGGACGCTTGTCAAACACACAGAAATGATGGAGATTGGGAAAGACCACATCTATACTTATATTAAAAGCCAACCTATTTACCAAAAATAGTAGCAAGAAAAGTCAACTCACATTTAATGCATACTTTATTTGGAAATTTTTTATGATATGCATTAATTACTTGATATATACATTTCTTATTCAAATATGATCAAAAACATTTTTTCCTTAAATAATTTATTAACTTCTGCAATGATTTTACTGATATATATTATAATTCATATTTGTCGATAGTATTTTTTAATTTTTATTTGAGTATATAAAAAACAAATATTTTTTTAAATTAATATTTTATTTATTATTTAAGAGATAATGATACATCATTAAATGATTTTACTGATGACTAGATAATAAATTAAAATACATTAATTATTCTTTAAAATTTTGGCATTATTTATTTGTATATCTATACTTATTATATAAGGTATCCTATTTAACAAATTTAGTAGATTGAAAAGTCAACGTAATTAATGCATTGTTATTTCTATCCAGAATTTTATTTAATTAATTTATTTATTTGTCTTATATCCCATAAAATCAGTTTAAGAAAAAAAAAACCCATAACATCTAACAAGTTAAAAAAATAAAAAGACATAAAAATCTTTTTACTAAAATAAAAAGACTTTATTTATTTGTCTTATTCCATATTAACATCAATTTTGTCAAAACAAATCCCATAAAATCAGTGAAGTCAAAATTTGTACGTAAAGTCTATCTATACTAAAAAAAAAATCAGATTCAAAATTCTTTATCTAATTTTTTTTTCTTATCTAATTCCTTTTTATTATCTAAATGTATGAAAATCTGTTCTGATTTTGTTCAATCCTCTAATTGTATTTGTATTATATTCCATAAATCGGTTTAACAAAAAAAAATCCCACAACATTCGATAAGTAAAAAAAAAAAGTACGTAAAATATTTACTAAAATAAAAAAGGCTTTATTTATTATCTAATTATATGAAAATCTGTTTTGATTTTATGGTACGTACTACAAATTGAGCACCTGTGTTCAGGAGCTACTTAACGGGCAAGCTCTGTGGAAATGACTCATTTAGTGTTTCTGTCCCGTGCATACGGTATGTATTTTTGTTACACATACTAGAAAATTATGCACCCCGTGCATCACACGGGCTCTGTACTAATAAATGAACTTAAAATTGTGCACCCCGTGCATCATCCTTATTCACATTTTGGTCTATTATAGGTCAAGTACTATATATATTCCGTACATTTTTTTTATTCATTTGTATAATTATAAGACTGGATAAATGGCCTTAAAATTGTGCACCCCGTGTATCGCACGGGCTCTGTACTAGTCAAGAGAAAATGGTTTCCACATATTAAAATAAGGCAGGAGCCTAAAAAAGAAAGTAAAAGTGGGGTAAAGATCGTCTATTCTCCCCTATGAAAGATCTTACCCTTTCTCAATAAAACAACATCGTCTTTCGAACTACCACGTTTCGCAAGCAGAAACCACATGTATTCTATTTTGAGAGAGAAGATTAGATTATATAGTTTCATATATAATTATATGAACTATAAAAACCCGAATAGCCAATTAAATTCATTGTCTTAAAAACTACAAAAACTCAAGCAATTCAGATCAAACCACTCGCTAGATTAAAAACAAAAGGCTAAAACAAATAAAATAGTAATTAATACAAAACGATAAAGAAACCGCTTAGGCCGCCAATTGGATGACACAATAATGTACAAACAGCTAAAATAAAAATGATCCTTCGAATATTATCTACAAAATCAAATAATCGAAAAATGAAAACCAACATTATTCAGTTCAGGCTATTTAGAAAATAAACAATTACATCAACCAATAGAGTTGTACACAGCTAAGGATGTTAAATACTTAACAGATTTAGAAACCAAATAAATAATTTCCCAGTCCAGAGAGATAAAAAAAGTGTAATGAATTCTCGACATATGAACTATTACTTACACCACACGTCACAACTGTGTATCCAAGGAAATAAAACATCTACCTTCAAGAGCCCAAGCATGGCGCATGGAGCAACAAAGTGTAACATGGAAATGAGAATTGCAGAGGCAATTGGGGTGTGGTCCAACAACACATATTCCACCGTAAGCTGCTTATCTCCAAAGACTACCTAAAATCTGTGTGCTCACGTTGAGCACTGAACCTATGACAATTGAAACATAGAAAGTCATCGATGGAGTCACAATTCAATTTTTGATCGAGGAAAAAATGCCCAAAAATGAGAGCGGAAAAGGGATTGTGAGCCAAGTTCCATTAGCTGGAGGTGCAGTTTTGACAAATTCAAGTAAGTAGAAAAAAATTATAGAGCATGATATGTTGTCTTTGAAATAATTAAAATTAATCCTAGCCCAAAAGCATGAGAGACAACTACAGTGCTAAAACATTAATCATGTTCCTTAATTTCTAAAAGTAATTAATGCACGACGTAAAATAAAATTTTGAATCCCAATTTTGAATAGCATACAACTAAAAACCACACCTTCAACAATACTTACCCACATGTCAAACTCAAACCAAGTGGATATTAACACGCTTCACTATCTCCATATTCTACACTATTATTGAACTCCCACCTCGTGAAAAAAACAATTCACCAGAAAAAGAAATGATCCGGCTGAAACTCAAAGAAAAATAAACAAATAGTAATTAAAGGATTAATGAATAACCAAAAGATGAAGGATTTGTTTTGAAATCTAAAGAACTGACCCTAGGTAGTATGCAGATTCACATATTGCTCCCTAATCGCTTGCAACCGGGTAAAAAAGCCCTAACAATTTTCGTGGGTTTCTTGTTCGATTAGCATTTAAGGCATGCTTGTCTAACCCTTTTATGGTTTCAGAATCAGCCGAAATCACACCAGATACATAAACCTGAAAAAGTTATGGATCAAAAAATCAAAATAAAGAAAAGAGAACTCGCCAAAATTCCAAAAATTTAATCACATAAATATGAACTTCATTATCCAAGGTAAAATAATAAACTTCACCATAGCAAAAATCCAAGTGTCGATTACCGTCTCGTGCTTCACGCTAGAGCACTGCCTCCTGATGGCGTAGACGACACAGTGGGTCATAAAACATGAATTTCAGTTTAGCACAATTACTTTAAGATCCTTTATAATTTTTTGCAAATTACTAATGTCTTTGTGAAATTAACCCAAAAAAAGGGTAAGATTTACAAGAATCTCAACTAACTAGTACATGTAGATATCACGGTTCTGGGTCAGCTGTCTGTGGCAAACAAAACAAAAATCAAGAAAATGGGTGGATTTTTCGAACTGTGAGAATCATCCTCGAGTGATTAGCCAGCGAACTGTTAAAACCAAAATTACTCACAGCCAGGCACACAGAGATAACTCCAATCAAATTCTCAAACAAAAATAAAATAAAAAAAAAAAGAAAGAAAGAATGATAAATGTGGAAGATAAGATGTGATTGCAAACCCCATGATTGCTGAGCTCGGAAAACGTAGGAATGGAGATTGAGGCTTGCAGAGGAAATGCTGAAGAGGTCTGCGTAAAACCCTAGTTTCAGAATCCAAACGAGCAATGGTGTAATAAGAGGATCAGTTATTAATGTGCCAGTGTCGATATAATGGTTATTGGGCCGGGTAAGCGGCACGAAGCCGCCGTACATGGTGTCTGCAGACTGACAGGGGCTGAGCACACAGCATCGTCATCGAGGAGGCACTCGTCGATCTTGGTGCGAAAGCTGGACGTTATTCTATCACAAGACAAAAATGCAGCAGCGGCGTGAGGAAAAAATGAAGATCGCGGTTGGTTTGGGATTTGGAAGAGTACCCTTTTTTCCTGTAGATTTTGCCTTCCATTTTCAGTCTTTTACCAAAAAATAAAGTAAAATAAAAGATTATAGGAATAGGCTAAACAAAATACAAGCTATCGTAAAATGAAAACAGGTGCAGACCAAGAAACAAGCTCCTTCAATTTTGAACACAAATTGCAAGTCGATCCCATTGACCGGTACTAAAAAATAATTGCAAGAACTTAATACAACAAATGATATAAAGAATCAATTTTGCATATACACAAATTCAACCATGAAATTAAAAGCCTAACCACAGTCATAGCTACCACCACAAAGGAAAGAAAGAGAGTAACTACTATTAGACACTTTGAACTACATATGATGCATTGTAAATTAGACCTGTAGCGCATTGTGACTTCTTCGCTGCCATGTAATACGAAACCTGATGTTCAAGTATCCTACTTTCAGAATCCAGTTGAACTCACAGATAAGTTTACCAAACAACCAGCACTAGAACCTTATGAATATTACAAAAATCCTACAGAATTTATGTATCTCATCTCAAGGATAAAAAAGAACAAAAGCATGTCATTTGTTATGCACCTTCATCATAGAGTATTTACTACGGCCGTTTGCACGAAGTCCTATAATCCACAACAGCTGCCAAACATAATAAAGAGTGAGAGAAGATAGAGGCAGACATCGCATCAACAACATAATTTGAGCATGGAATTCATTTACCATTTATTTCAATTCCAACTGAGAGAGCAATGGCTTACACTAACGATTTTATGGTGCACGCATGAGGGAGAAACACAATAAACTTTAAAAGACCAAAAGGAGGCAAGGCCTTGTGGGTCGCCTGCGACCGGGCCGAGTACAACAGTTCCACCTACCGACCCGCACTCTGCGGCTCCCATCACAGCAGGGTGGCCCGCTCCCAGAGGACCCCTCTAAGCCCCGTCAGGCTCACACTCGACCTCGGAGACAAGGCCCTGTGGGTCGCCTGCGACCGGGCCGAGTACAACAGCTCCACCTACCGGCCCGCACTCTGCGGCTCCCATCACTGCAGGGTAGCCCGCTCCACCTCCTGCGACAAATGCTGGGGCAGGCCTCTCCCCGGCTGCAACGACAACGCGTGCTCGGCCCTTGTCTACAACACCGTTGACCGGTCAGCTCAGACCGGCGAGCTGGCCACCGATGTAGCCGCCCTCCGCTCGACCGACGGGTCTAATCCGGGCCCCGGTTTCTGCAACCACTGATATCTTGAGTAGCAGACCGATCGGCGATGGTCAATTCTCCAGAGAGAAAAATTAATTTGGGGAAAAAAAAAAATCTGTTCTTCCAATTTTTTAATCCTTGTCAATTAAATTAAATGGATAATAATAATAGTTATAGTTATAGAACAAAATGTGTAGGGGGAAAAACAAAAGACTTAGGGACTAAATAACAAAATGAAAAGAGATCATTCTGCAATTATATTATATGTATGTATGTATATGTGCGTATAAACTAACTATAAATAGATTTAACTCCTTTATCTTTCAATCATTTCCTTCTCACCGAACACAGAGCGAAAGAGCGATACCACGCAAGCAGTTGCACTATGGTGTGCCTTGGCACACCTTGCTAGGTGTGCCAGGCTTGATCCA